ATGGTAGATGGAGAGAACACGTGCATCGAAGTGCATTAGCTTTGAAATTGATGACTTATGAACCGGTGAGCGAGAAGGCTCGGATGAATTGGGGGGTTTCGGGTAGAAATGAACTATGCATTTGCGATGGAATGCTTGAAAGGATATATCTATTTTTCTGTTGCAATACCATACTAATACTTATTATGTAGACTGGTGCGGTAGTTGCATCTCCTACTTTCGGTCTTCCTGAAGGTAAGCTCATCACTCATTACGGTTAACGGTAACAAAGCCGTATTATCCCCATTAACTTTTCCATTGAAAATTGTAGCTATTGGGGGTACTCGTAATTGGGATTACCGATATACCTGGGTGAGAGATTCGGCATTTACCTTTTATGCTCTCATGAGAATAGGCTTGACCGAAGAAGCGAAGAGCTATATGGAGTTTATGTACAAGCGATGCCAAGATCTGGTGAGTAATGAGAATGTACATGTAACAATATTATATTACGCAAATACGTGGTATTCATATACTTGTTCACATGCGTGTGCAAAATCTTGCAGAATGAAGATGGTTCGCTGAACATAATGTACAGCATCGATGGAGATAAGGAATTGCCCGAGATTGAGTTAAATCACCTCGAGGGATATCGCGGGTCCCGTCCAGTGCGTATTGGCAATAGCGCTCACAATCATATTCAACTTGATATCTATGGAGAGTTGTTGGATGCAATTTATCTATACAATAAATATGGCAATCCTGTTTCATATGACATGTGGTGTATTGTTAGCCGTTTAACCAACTATGTTGTGAATAACTGGAGGAGAGTTGATATGGGTATCTGGGAAATCAGGGGAAAGCAACAGCATTTCACATTTTCAAAGATAATGTGTTGGGTGGCTGTTGATCGAGGTAATAGAAGGAGAACATATGTAGATGTACTTGCACAAGTACATGAAATACTTCTATAGTACTATTGTAATCTATAGCTATTATTCTGTCATTTCTTTTTCATTGATAGGACTTCGTTTATCGGAAAAACGAATGTTTCCATGTCCGGACAGGAACAAATGGTTGGAGACTCGAAACGAAATATACGAAGAGGTTATGACACGCGCATGGAATCCTGAACTAAGAATGTTCTCTCAGTCGTATGAATCGCCGAGTGTACTGGATTCATCATTATTAATTATGCCATTGGTATTTTTTATAAGTCCGACTGATCCAAGATTCTTAGACACTATGAACCGAATATTACGTTCACCTGGAAAGGGTAAGATAATAAATAGTAGTAATGAATGTCTGTCGTCATCAAGGTTATCGAGTAGATGAATGTTCGTTGCTAACCATTGTGATTACTACGGTGTGGCGTAGGCGGTCTAACAGCAAATAATTTTGTATACAGATATAATACTCTTGTTGTTGAAGACGGTAAGCTTGCTTCGATGATATATGTATATATATATTCGAATGTTGCAGTATTATCTTAGCATTATTTTCGCTGTATAAAAAAAAAAGGCATCGGAGGACAAGAAGGTTCGTTCTCGATGTGCACATTCTGGCTAATTGAAGCTCTTACTCGTGCTGGCCGATTTGACAAAGACAAGCTTGGACGCGCTGAAGTCATATTCGAGAAAATGATTGGATTTGTTAACCATCTTGGATTGTATTCCGAGGAAATTGCACAATCGGGCGAGTTCTTAGGAAACTTTCCACAGGCATTTACGCATATTGCATTTATTAGTGGTAAGTCAGAGTGAGCAGTATAGGAAACAATCCCGTTAACCAGAAAAATCGGAATACGGTGTTTGATGCTAAACATTCTCTATATTTTCTATAGCCGCGTTCAACCTGGATCGTGTTCTGAATGAGACGCGTCACTGGCATCATAATAGCCAACTCATTTATAGTAGGCAAATAAAATTATAAGACAACGAATGAGGTTAATTTATCAGCACGTAACCAATTACTGTCGTCATACCTGCAAATCAGAACTATTTCTCGGTTTGGGCAAATCTCCGGCAGGTAAGAATTTACTATAGTATTTACTCTCCTTTTCGAGACGTGATAATGTTTAAGTAAATATGCAAAGTTTATTTCGACTGTTTATCATGAACTATCGAAGAATCTTAAAATCTACATATGAATTGCAAATTGCGAATTAGGATACCCTGCATATTAATATGTGGTGAATTTCCGAAAAACCAATGAGGCTGCCCCTTTCGTTACAAACAATTTCCTATCCCGGAAGTCTTTGATAAGTAAGCATTACACATTAAACAAGCGAACTCCCACACTTCATCTCTGTGCATGCGCCTATCAGCACACTACTATGATTAATCAATTGAAGGCACTGTCCGTTAGGATTGATAATCAATTTCACTTTAAAAAAGAGTGGATTGATATGTGCCTTTAGGCTTAATTTCTGAATCGAATTATCTCGGGTTTTCCAGTTAAGATATAACAATATAAGTAAGTATAGTAAGTAATCCTAATAATTATAATGCAGTGCATGCTTTTTGGCTTTTATTTACGTGCATAGGGGTGGGAACCCGTATCATTAGTTTTACGAGTATGCTTATTGACTGGTCATGGATGTATTGTATGTGACTTGAATAAAAATACAAAAATTGGCATCAATTTTACAACTTTAGTGTTAATATATGGATACAACTAAGTCACCAAGTATCGCATTATATCTGATAATGAAACAATGCCCTTTAGCTTCTTCTCTGAGTCCACTACGACAAGACGATATACAGGCTTTGCTCGTATCAGGTCAAATATAGAATGTAAATTATCATTCAAAGTGCATGTATGTACACCCGGAAAATCCTATAAATATTTTGTTAATCAGAGAAAATCCCAAGTTTAAATAATCGATGCAATCAACAATATTCTCTTACCTCTGTTCGCTTTAGCATTGCCTCTCCAACTGGTAGATTAAGTCCATAGTATGCCCCCGAACGGATTAATGTCTGCAAACCGAGTCATTCGTTCAGAAGATGAGTCTTAATGGAAAAACAAACAAACAAACTCCAGAAAATTTGTCTTACCATTACATCCACTGTTTCATAAACATTTATTACCACACCTAATAATACCGTAGATAGAATAATTACTCAACTCTGTCCGGAAAATTGAAAATTATGTTGGACAGACAATCATTAAAGACCAATTACCATGCTCGTCCAATATTGGTACAGATGATATTCGTTTTTCTACAAACATACTGATTACGTCAATTACTGTAGTTGACAGCCTGGCTGTTGCAAGATTTTCGTAGACTCCAATCTTAATTTCCGATAACGGTTTACGTAAGAGCTTGATCTCTGTGCACTAGAAGTACATACCATAAATGAGTCACGCTATATAACAAGTAAAACAATAATAGTGTTTGAAACGTGTCGTATATCAACTGATGAGTCTTTTCGACTTGCTTCATCATTCTATTCACTAAACAGACCATCTAAACCGGTCTGCTCCCAACGCTTTCATGCCTGGCTCGCCAAGAGCAACTTACATTTACGGCTATAAATTTTAGAATTCGATACTGCGTAAGTACAGATACAATCATTTCTTGCCCAGTGTCTGAATCGACGTCCACTAATGGTAATCTATGAGCACGTGCCTCGACCAACAGCTTGCATGCTTCATACAACGACTTGAGCGGATGTATAGAAAGCATTTGAGGTGGAGGTAGACCAATTTTCCTTTCAATCTCTGTAAATGCAAACCGCCCTTGTTTAGAAAACTGAATTCATCATTCCCGTTTGATTACAGTGTTAAAATAGGTTTACCTCTGAATTGTTGTATCTGACACTGTTCTATTTCCTCCAACGCAGCAGAGTATGAAGAACGCTCGTAATAGTATTGTATCAAGTTTAAGAAATCGGAGACCGTCAGCATGCCAGCAAACTTCTGCCTTATCGAGTCCCATAATGGTGCAGAAACTATTCCTGTTCAATATAAAATTCATACACAGCATTGCATCAAACACACCCAGCCGTGTAATGAAGTAGCTGTATGAGAAAACATCGACGGCAACAAGTATTTAGTTCCCCCCTCCCGTTGATAAACTTACCAAATAAAGAGAGAGTCAAAAATGCGCTTACCATTTTGCATTAGTGCTGTCAATGCCTTTTTAACGAGTAGTGAGGTGTCAAGCACTATGATCCTATAGCTGACAGGTAAGACATCGTATGAGGAATGCTGCTTTAAGAATGCACAGACTCGACTACGCGGAGTAGGTCGAGAGTCACCCTGCTCGGCGTATATGTCAGTTTCCTCCTCTAAACTGTCTGTAGTTTTAGATTCATCAAAGGATATCGAATCAGCCATTGTTTGTTTAGAACACGTTGAATCCTTTATCATAAAAGTCACTCGCGATAGTAGTATCATTTATTCTATTTTTCAATTGGCACACGTGATGATACCAGTTTTTGTATTTCTGGTAGTAGATAAAGATAGAATCAAAATGCATAGCATTGATTTTATTACCGGTTAATTAAACTATTTTATTTACTCGGTCGTCCGCAATCAATACGATACGCACAGTCAGTTAGAAGTGGTTGTTTGGGTAATGTCTTTCTCGGAATCGCGCGGGCATGTAAAATCTATATAGCCAAGATAATCAACTAAACCAGCTTACGAAATCAAGGCTAAAGGCCAAGATTGAATAGCCTTTAATACGTGCAATGAACTAATCAGTGTTGCTTTATCGAACAAGACTCAATGCTATATGGATGGTGGTTAAAATGTCTTATTGCTATAGAAAAAGCTAAAGCGAATAATATGATGCACATGACCAATCAAAAACACTTTTGCCCGCCCATTATCACTTCATCATGTCACATGAATAAAAAAGAAACTTTTCATCTTGCATGTTAGAAACTGGGAAAGATGTCTAACAGTCGCAAAACCGAGAATATCTTGTCAGTCGTCCACGCCGAAGAGGCTGCTGAAGAAGAGCAAGTCGACGAAGAACCGCAAGATTCTAGACCAATAATAGAGGAAGGTTGGTTGAGTATAGCTTTGAGATATGAGACATTCATATTAGTATGCATGTTTGCTCGATGTACATTCGTTCGTCCTTGACACTGGCTGAAACGTTTCATGACTGTTATTTAATTGCGATATGGTATACGATTTGTCAATCGACAATTTATACTTGAAGAATGTGGTGAGACTGTTCAATGTAAGCCGTTGAAGGCTCATTTAGACGAGTGTACTCGGCGTGTAGAAGCTGGAAACACAGACGAGAACTGTAGCGTATCTTTTGACATTGCGTTAGGTGGTTTATTACTAAAGATTAGTATATGGTGAATGCTAATGATATCCATGTATTTTGCAGGCGTTGAGGAATTGTTCCACTTTATGCACTGTGTTAACGATTGCGTAAGTATTTTCATGATATTCGTTATGCATGGAATTCGTACGTAGAATTATAATACTTGGTTGTTATAATACATGATTATATACGCCGCCTTTACTACCTCTACCAATAGACTGCACCAAAGCTATTCGCACAGCTCAAGTAGTCACAAACGACGCAGTTAAAAAATAAAGCCCATCTGCAAGGTGATATTCTCAGATTGTCCGGTAGCAAATGCAATGTTTGCAGAAGAGATATGGGTTTACTTTACTTAAAGGACAATAAAGTATTTCTGGCTCAATCAGCCTACCAGCAAGGAGGTTATAAATGTGCGAGATTATTATATATTCACCTATAATAAAAGGAACGTTTAATAACGTTCATATTTGTAATTCGACGTACTTTTCTCAATTCAACGCTATTCAGTTCGATGCAAGCCTGTGGAACGCAGGCGTCCAAGGCTAAACACAACTGGCCGCGTTTTAGTCAGCTGCAGACTGTGCGACCGGCTGAGACAGAATGGGTCAAAAGCCCACTAATATTGATTACTTTTATGTACACCCGACACTTTAAATTTTTAATAATATAAACATACCTTGGGTGGATGAATTGTCCTTTTCGATCCCCATTTCAGTCTTTGTTATTGTTGCGTCTCTGTAACTGACCCATTGTCAAAATTCTTGTGCCAGCTGTGTGCCACTCTAATGCTCACTTTTAAACCCTTTTTTATATTTGATTATCGTTATTCCGAAAACTTTGACAAAGTAGTGATTTGTATGGAGAATGTAATAAGGAAATTTATATGTATATGGGTGTGTGCAACGTATGTCGGGATTAAATTGTCAGACGCGGTGTTAGTTGGTATTTTATTAGTAAGAGTTGTAACAGTAATTTGGTATTTAATATTAATACGAACACAGGAATAACATATAAGATGTGTGGTACAACCTGCGACAATTATGCTTCCTATTACTATTGTTTTGTTATTCATTAGCCAGTCATAAGTCGTTGACAGATATGACAGTAAAAACGTGTACTGTTTTTGTTAACCACGAGTAAGACACAATCCAAATAGCGTGATTATTACTATTATTTGTGAGATAAGATCGTTTGCTAATTTCAGACGTTTTAATAAAGAATGTATCAATGATTTATATTGTTCTAAGGTAATGCAAGCTTCTTTCTCAAGATCGAAACAAAGTCTGGTTGAAAGTGATAATGAATAATAATTTTAGTTGCAAACAAAAAAACCCCACATTTATGTGCGAAAGCAATAATCGATCTACTGATGTTGCCATACCGAGAATAAAGGTTTTGCTAAACACCTGTGACAAAGCCCATAAACTGAACCCATTTTACGATTTATTTTCTTTGGAAGTTTCGATTAGGCAAGAGAATAAATTCGAGTTCGTTATGCTATAGTTTATAGCATACCTAATTTCAATAGTTCCCGATGACGTTGACAACATACATGGGAGGATAGGCAATAGGCAAAGTAACGAAAAATGTCGCGAGAGCAGGAGATTGAATAAACCAATTAAAAATCAATTGTTACGAGAATCTCTACATTCAATATATACCATATTAAACGATGTTAAATAGAGAGACTAGAGCTCTTTTTGATCATTGATATTTGGCAATGTGATAGAAATAAAAATATATGTCATATGAAAACAACTAGGAGTACAATTATTGAGCAACGCCCATGGTCAATTAAAGTGTGTGTTATTCTAAGAGTGGAAAAGCAGAATAATAAAAAGTACAAAACTAACTATTATCCTTTCAATAAATTTTCTACTTACATCCCTAATCCATTCTTTTAAATTTTCATTTCACATTCAACTCATACTAGAAAAAAAAAAACAAAACAAAAATGATGGATTATTTGACAATAAAATAATGATTGAATTCGCATGCTTCGGGAATAAAAGAATGAGTGAGGTTGTTTCTTTTCTCCCCCCATGGGAAAATTTACACGACAGGTCTAATTTTGTTAAATCGACATTGGTCTGCGTTCGTTTGCGTTCGTTTGCGTTCGTTTGCGTTCACAGGATAACACAGCAGCATCCACTGTCATCATCTCTGGCCGAAAATTCAGTACCATTTCCAGGCCCGTTCAGAGTCTGACGACCGGGCGCATACTGCTGATCCTTGTTATAACGCCTGATTTCACGGACAAGATTGTAGAAGGCTTCATCGACATTAATCCGCTGCTTGGCAGAAGTTTCGATGAATCGGCAACCGAAATGCTTCGCAAGTTCTCGTCCCTCTGCGGTTGGAATAATCGATAAAAAGGGCGCTCGCTTATTATCTAGTATCGTAGACATTAAATCCTTTATCATACACTGTAGAAGCTTTTACTAACCATGTCCAGATACTTGTCTCTCCATCTCCAAATCGCATTTGTTAGCAACAACAATTATGGGGAAATAGTCCTTATCTTTTACTCGAAGAATCTGCTGATGAAAGGCAGTAATTTCTTCAAAAGAATTACGGGATGTAATAGAGTATACGAGAAGGAATCCTTCACCTGTGCGCATATATTGCTCACGCATAGCACTGTATTCCTCTTGACCAGCAGTGTCTAAAACATCCAGCAACGCGACCTCGTCATCAATAATACACTGTTTCCGGTACGAGTCTGCGGAAAACACGTGTGGATAGCGATAATTAGTATATATTGATATGTAACGGATAAGCGGCGCAGCAATAAGCTTTTTGACTCTAAATCATTGAAACCCAAGTTCTGTAACAATTCAACCCATCCATTAACTTTGAATTCATTCCCTCCCGCATACCTTCTATAGTAGGATCATATTCGTCAATGAAATGCGATTGAATAAACTGAATTGTCAAAGCGGATTTGCCAACACCTAAGCGATAGCAATAAAATTAACTTAGACAAGAGTGCGCTGGGAACGACTATTTATTTTGCAGAACCAGTTATTGCATAAGGTGCGAGTGGGAGATGACGGAGGTAAGAAAGATGAGTAATACCGACTCATCCGACAACCATTTCCGACTCCTGCCAGACTACCTTGAGATGGTCTAGATGCAAGACACGATCACAAGGATAAACATACCGCCACCACCGACAACGACAAGTTTATATTCCCTTAGAAATTGGGCTTTGGACATAATGACTAATTAATCAGACGACTAGTTGTGTTATAAAAAATTTTGCCCCTCTATGAAGTTTAACAGGGTAGTAATGGAAGTCAGTAGGGATGTATGCAAAAGAGAGAATATTAAAGAGACTGAAGAGAATATAGGTAGGAGGGGGGGCAAATAGTATTAGTCTGAATTTGGCTCTGAAGAAGTGTTGCAAAGAGTCCCGACAAAGGGACAAATTTATCTGTGTGCGCTTCAGAATTTCAAAATGGTAAACCAATCCAAAGGTTACGACTATCGTGACGTAGAATGTTGTACACAAGTCGGCGTGCATAAAGGAGTTTTCCAGCAGATTGTTTTCATCTTCTTGATTCAATCTCTTGGTGCTGATTCATTGATTTTCTGTTTGATATTTCGCGGGTATTTAGAAAGTACGCTTTGATACTACGTATATTACTATTGCTTGCGATAGTGCTAAGTATTGTATATTGTTCTAACATAGTAAAGATATGAGTGAAACCATACGGTCAGTTCGAATTCGCGACACTGCCAGGCGAAGCAGCCCTAAAACTCATGTTGTGTACGAAATTGAAATTCGTGCAGCAGTAAGAACTTGGACTATATGGAAGAGGTACAGCGAGTTTGAAGACCTCTATAAGAAGTTCATACGCTTATTTCCAAACCATACTCCACCTGTGGATTTACCGGCAAAGCACTTTCTACAGTCTACTCTTGGTAGCCCCGTTTTAATTGAGGAGAGAAAGAGAGGGTTAGAAGAATTTCTTCAAAATATTTTAAGTGATCAAGATGATAGATGGAGAGAAACTGACGAGTGGAAGGAATTCTTGGCAATTCCCACTGGGAAACCACTCGACGCGTTATCAATGTACACTTCCGAGAGCTGGCTGGACGGATTTAATCAGGCACAGGCCATAGCTAAAGATATTCGTTCTCTTATCAATCGTCGACAGACTCATATTGGACATAGTGAAGTTGCGGCATCTCACAATTGCAGCTTACAAGCCAAGAAATCTTTAACTTTATTAAACTCTCGAGTGGCATCTCTTGAAGCTGGTCTCCAGGGATTGGCTAAAGGATCGGGCAGGGATGGTTTAATGATGTCCGAGGGCGAACTCAGAAGACGTACTGATATGATTAATGATTTGAAGGACGAGAAGGACACTTTGCAGAAACTTGTTCTAGCCAGTAGACCGGATATTCACAATTTATCTTCGGCTAGTTCGGTCGATCGTAACGCTTTGCTCCGTCAACCAGTAAGACAACGCTCGTCTCCTCAGTTGGGCCGCACTAATGGTAATGGACCTGCAGCAAATTCCGTGACTGGTGCCGTTAAGCCAACGTCGCGACGCGTGTTTGGTAATGTCAGTGCAACGCCGCAAGAAACTGAACAAACCCGTGGATTGGATAACCAGGGCTTGGTCAAGTTACAGCAGAGCGCAATGATCAATCAGGATGCTCATGTTGAGCAATTTAGCGCTATTTTGAATCGCCAGAAACATATTGGAATGGCCATTAGTCAAGAATTGGAGGTTCAGAATAATATGCTGCAAGAGCTAGATGAACAGGTAGACAGGACGACGGGCAAATTAAAGCATGTTTCGAAGAAGATTAGCTCTATCAAATGAACTGCGATATGAAAGATGACGCTGAAGAATGATTGCGCGAACCAATCAAAGAGGATAATATAAACATATATAAGCAGCTCCTGGGGGTGTTTCTTTATCTTGTTGTGATAGAATTCATTTAATTAGATTTGTTGGAGAATACATATATATATATTCGTTTCTTGTATGATTATAAGTTTTGCTGGCGTAGGTATACATGTTCTTTCTTTTTTTTTTTTTTTGAATATGTTATCAGTACAATATCAATAGATTGGGCGGGGCTAGCATATGTTTTTGTATACTGAGCCAAAATATGGCTTCTATTTTGTAAGAATGTATATTTGCTTTATTATGAATGAACAGGTTAGGTTGTATATCGATATATGCAAAAGGGGAAATTGGACACTTGCAAGCATGATGATCAACACTG